GCTGCAGCGTGTCATCCACTCTGCAGAGAGGCTGATCGGCTGCAATCTGCCGTCCCTGCAGGACTTGTTCGCTTCCAGGTCTCTGAAGCGAGCTAAAAAGTTCGTGGCCGACCCCTTTCACCCCGGACAAAACCTGTTTGTGCCCCTTCCATCTGGCAGGAGGCTGAAGTCCATCAGGACTAAGACCTCACGCCACACAAACAGTTTCTTCCCGTCGGCAGTCGCGCTCATCAACAGAGCCGGTCCCCCACTGACTGACTATAACATTCCACCGGTCACTCTGCTTCACACTGCACATGTCACTTTAACTGCAATTCATCACTTTGTCGTCACTCGTCACTTTGTCTCTTGTCTGTCACTTGTTCGTTAGTGCACTTTATGCTTAACATTTTTCTTTTTAACTTTTTAATATTTAAAATTTAACTTTATTCCCTTGTTTTATACTAACCCATAGCCTTATTGTACTAACCCATTGCATTAGCATTTCATTCTACTTTATTTTATTACTTGTGCACTGTTGTCTTGTCTGTCTACTGTCGCGCACTAACCGCCAAGACAAATTCCTTGTATGTTTGACATATTTTGGCAAATAAATGTTTCCTGATTCCTGATTCCTCCTGCCAAGGAGGATGACGTCCGTCGTGACTCCAGGTCCCAGTGTGAAAGGCATCATTGTCATACACACATTTTATAAGAATAAATGAAAAAAAGAAAGTCTTGGTATCTGTCGCAATAGGAGAGTCTAGAATATAAGGCTATGTATTAATTTAAAAATAATGGAATAGAAGTTGAAAAATGTTAAGTTAAAAAAAGTGCACCAGCGAACAAAGTGACAGCTGATGTTCAGCCCACTTTGAAATCTGAAAATCTTTTGCGGCCCACCAAAACCTTTAATCACAACTCTGATCAAAACATAAACTAGGGATGATTAAATGACCTTAAGAATTTAACCGATTAAAAATGTATTAACCGACAATGTATGGTTTGTATACCATTTTCTACGGAGCTCATGTTTAACGCACAAAAAGGCGCATAAGATACTGCAGTCTATCAGCGCAAATCACTGTCAAAAGAGAGCGCAAATCAGGTTGATGTGCGCGCGTAAATCAAACAGCCGCAAAAGCAAAAGTCCATCTCGCGCGAGGTATTTGCCTGCTTGCGAGGGGGCGGAGCCAGTCACATGGTCTCTACACCTGATTGGTTACAAACCCTGTCTTTGGATTGGCTGGAGCGATGCATTCACACAACTATAGAAGCCCATTTCCGCACTGGAGAAAGGGGATGGAAAGTCGAAATTAAATATAAATTAAAAAATGATAAAACGTTGTCAAAACACAAACGACACCTTTATGTTACCGTAGTGGACCGTAGAGGACAACCAGCTACAACCATCATTTACCATCATTACCGGCCCATTAAGACCAATGCGTCCAGCTCGCAGACCGGCTGGTGATTTTCCGCCGTAGCAGTCAAACGTTTGACGTTGGGGCGGGTGGATGGGGGGGGTGTGGGGAGGTGGAGACGATGCTTTCAGGGTCCGATCGATACTGCGAGGTGCGTTCGCTCCCGCCGCCCCCCTCCCCATCCACGACTTAAATCTTCGGCTGCTCTCCAGCCGCGCCGCCTGCCAAGGGCTCCTTTTAGAATAACGTATTTCCCCGTTAAGATGGTTCAGCTACTGTAGAGAAAAGGGCGTCGTCTCTCGCTCTTTAATCTCATGAAGTGCTCGGCGAGAACGACAGCTTCGTTTCTCCGACGCGCCCTGAAAGCAGCTCCATATCTCACGCGCTTGAGCGCCGCTCAGCATCTCGCCGTCGTAGACGAGCTTTGGCGTGTTTGGCAGAGCGCCTTGAGCGCCGTCTACGACCAGTGTGGATCAACCGATTAACCAGTCTGTTCGTTTAAATTGTTTGTGCTTCATCAATTAATGTTCAACATAACTAATGTGCCGCATCATACATATTTTTATATTAATTTCGAACTTTTCAAAATTGAAAATTAAAAACGTTTTTATTTATTGTAAATGACCTCTCGCGGCCCACCTGCAGTACATTCGCGACCCACTAGGGGGCCGCGGTCCACACTTTGGGAATCGCTGGTGTAGGGGAAAGGTGTTGGTTAATAGCTGGTGTGAAATTAAATCATTGACATCAATAGAATGATTTATAATCTCTAAGATAAATACAAAATAAATAAATAACACGGCACCGCCATAAAAAGGGATTAATAGCTCCCTGTAAAGATTAGAGTGGATTAGACTGTACAATTCTATTTGTCTTGTCTAACCATTGCTTAATGCAGCTGGAACTTCCCCCTGCACATCCGTAGTGTGGAAGAAACATCGTACTTTCTGCTGAAACAAAATGTTGTAGAGTAAATTATAAGTATCCCATTGCGTATCCCTATGCTTGAATGCACTTATTGTTAGTCGCTTTGGATAACAGCGTCAGCTAAATGACATGTAATGTAATGTAATAAGAATAGCAATTGTCTGCATTAACATCTGAACCAGCAGGCGGTCCCTGCGCACCTTACTTTGTGAGACAGACAGGCACCTGACATCTATGAACAGCACTGCGTCTCATAAATGATAGAATAAAACCACCGGCTACTTGTTGAACCTCTGGACCAGAACACACACCAACGGAGACACCACTTCCAAAATAAGTCTTTTAGACTTTAAACTCAGAATTAGTAAGTACGTTTAAGATCTTTTAAGGTAAGACAAAACTAAAACACTAATACTGATAACTAATGATGAATCATGGCAAAAATTATAATACTAACAAAATTACAATAACTTTAATTTTGATTAATAATCAATCAAGTGAATAAAAAATAAATATGTTATTAATCTGTACAGCAGGCACAAACGTCTGATGTTCTGATGATGCTGGCTCTCAAATGCCAAACTGCTTTGTGCTTTTGATGATTATTTGTTCAAACAACCTATTTGACAGTTTTCCTTATTTATAAATGTGAACAGCGGTGAAATACTCAGTCAAGTGTAATTTACAACGCTCGAGGTATCATTCCAGTTATGATGATGAATTAAACTAATTCACATTCACCACCGGAGCGCAGAGGAGAGAGCAAACAGACACTCGGTCAGCTACTTTTAATATCCACCCATCACGTTTCTAGTGGTCGGTAGTCATCAACACTCATGAGGTGCTTTGTGTTGAGTTTTTACAATTAAATTTGAGAAGAGCAGGATGTGAGCCTGAACTAGATGCGCATTCAAGGGTTATAAATGTATGAAAGTAAATTGCACCCTGGCAGAAATATCTACCAATTCTGTTTGTCATTTGTATAAATGGCTATAACCTACAATATTGAATAAACCTCGAACCTCGAAGTGATGTGCGTCTTAATGAGAGGCTTTGGAAATGAACACACAGGGATTTGGTATTTGCTCATACAGCCTGAAAAAACGGGTCATTAGGCCAATGTTTAGATAACCGACCAATGCCAGTTCTGCAAAATGGGTTCTGGTTTGATTTGTTTAAGTTATGTAGCATGCCGAGGGCGGCACGGTGGCCTGGTGGTTAGCACTGTCGCCTCACAGCAAGAAGGTCCTGGGTTTGACTCTGCCCAGTGGCCTTTCTGTGTGGAGTCTGCATGTTCTCCCCTTGTCTGCGTGGGTTCTCTCCGGGTTCTCCGGCTTCCTCCCACAGTCCAAAGACATGCTCTGGGGATCAGGTTAATTGGGGACTTTAAATTGCCCGTAGATGTGTGAGTGTGAATGGTTGTATGTCTCTGTGTAGCCCTGCGATTGGCTGGCGACCAATCCAGGATGTATCCTGTCTATCGCCCAAAGTTGGCTGGGATGGACTCCAGCCCCCCCGCGACCCTGTGTGCAGGATAAGCGGTTTGACAATGGATGGATGGATGTAGCATGCCGGTGAATAAATATGTCCCGGCAGGTCACGTGATCTGAAGGCACCTTCGATCATATTGTAATGGACTGACATGTTCTGTGAGCGAGGTTACACATTAAGAGTTTGTCCTTCATAGAATTTTTTTCCCCTTACTTTTACTTTTATAATTTAAGTAGTTTTGAAACCAGTACTTTTATACTTTTACTTAAGTAAAAAGCTTGAGTTGATACTTAAGTGATAAGTCTTTTTAAACCCTAGTATCTATACTACTTGAGTAATGAATGTGAATACTTTTGACACCTTTGCTGATTCCCAGCGTTGTGGCTGCTGCCACTTTTGGGGCTGGCCTGAGCCCACCTAAGACATGCAGACATGCGGAGGGGCTCAAGGCGAGGCCATGCCCCATGGCCCCCCCTGGCCCTCTATGGGCCAGCTGCAACTGTACCACATACCTGCACAACAAACTTGTCTTTGTATAAGAACCTATGTAAGTTATTAATGGACAAATTTGCTTTTCCCTTTTAGATTGTCAAAATGGAGAGATGCAGCTGATATACAACCTTTTACTCAAGATTATTAGCAAAAAGCTACCTCCAGTTTTTAAACCTAATTAAACTATATGCTTTTTATGCCCTGCGGTGAGCAGTATTTGATTAAAGACAGATATTTAGCTAGGTGGTTTCTGAATTTCTTCCCTAGATTTCAAAAAATATTTTTGCAGAGCCAATTATGTTATTTGAAGCCGGATAAAAATTGAGGACCATTTGAGAAAATAAATGCTTCTTTCTCAATATTACTGTTTGGATGGATCATTGACACGTGAGCACAAACCACATCCAAGGACGATTCAACATTAGGGGCAATAAAAAAAAGTTCAGGATAGAGAGAAGGCATGGCAAAAACAAGCTGTCAAACAAAGCGTGTTAGCACTGAGAAGAAGTGAACATTGTGGGAAAAGGCTCAAACTTAACTCCACCTCAATCAAGTATAATACTTGCTGTTATAGTGAAATAAAAGATTGATGAAATTGTAATTACAATTACACACATTTATTAAACCTACTTTAATACCTTCCACCACTGACCATTATCCTTGTGTGTTTTACCACAGGCTTTATCCACAGGTTGGAGCGGCTTCTCATTCGCACTGCCGCACATCCAAGATGAAAACAATAACGCGCCTGCTCATTTTATTTTTGAGTGTTTCTGGCATCTGTGTTTTTTGGGGAGAAGAAGTCTTACAATACGTTCTGCCTCAGCAACAAAGATCCTGTGCTTGTGACCGATGTCTATTTGAAAATGATACGTTGGCCATTCAGAATATCAGCAGATTTCCACAACCACTTTTATCCAGGAAGTACAATCTGTCAGAAGAGGATTTCAACTGGTGGAAGGTAAATTGTTACCTTGAAAGAGAACAACCTCCAGCTCAAAACTGTCTCATGTTCAAGGAAAACTCCCTTAATTTAGTTAATGCAGTAGAAAATACAACATTCATGCATTTCACAATACAAACAGATATTTCAAAATAAGTTCCTGGCTCTCAATATCACAACTGCCAATCTGTGTAGTCTGTATGACTCATGTGGTCTAACGACTAGTAATGTTTGGTGCTCCTGACAGCGCCTACAGCCTGGAGGCGGAAGCATCAGTGACTACAGAAAAAAGATCGAAAAGGTTTTTCAGCTGATCCCAGACAACCCTCCTCTTGAAGCATCCAGCCCCGGATATTGCAGGACTTGTGCTGTGGTGGGAAACTCTCGTAATTTGTTAAAATCACATTACGGACCTCTCATAGATTTCCAGGACTACGTCATAAGGTAAATGAGCTGAAAGAAACATGAACGATGTTTTTCATCAAAGTCAGAAAGAAAGTGTCAAATCACACGTCTGTTTTTTCCTTGACGAAGGCGTTGACTCATGAAATGCATCACTTTGTACCAATTAGAATAAACAAGGGTCGTTCCGAAGGCTTTGAAGCAGATGTTGGGAACAGAACCACTCATCGTGTCATGTATCCAACGAGTGCTTCTCAGTTAGATAACACCACTCATCCGGTGCTGTTTGCATTCAAAATGTGGGATCTTGGATGGATTACGAGGGTCCTCAGCACACAACAATCAAAGTGAGCCATTTTTGGGGTCTTTCTTTTGAAGATGGCGTTCCAGCCTGCTAACGTCCCCCAGCGGTACCGAGGGAGGAGTTGTGTTTCATTTTTGGTGTGATGAACAGTAAATCCATAACATTCAGGGCCACATAACATGTTACTAATATCCAAGCTACTGTTGCTGGCTATCATCCACTTTAAAAACAACACATTGAAGGTGGTAGTTTTGCCTTCATGTAGGTACAGGAAAGAAGCTATTCCATTGTAATTCTTTAAAAAAGTCTACATGCGAAATAAGACAAGTGTTCATTTTTAAAGCTTCTCTGCTTTACTTACACAGATGCTTGAGTTTGACGTTTCATTCTTTTTTTCCACATGTGTAAAGAAAACCCTTATTCAACAAGGATTTGGTAAGTTTAATTTTTTTATATGAATTCAACAATAAACATTATATGCTCCAAAATTGACTGATAAAATATTGGAAGACTAAATCTTATTTCATAACAGGTGATGGTCCTTAATCCAGCTTTCATGACGAATATTCATAAAGTGTGGCTGAAAAGGAAGGGCGCTTGTCCCTCCACCGGTTTCATGGCTTTGGTTCTTTCCCTGCATATTTGTGACGAGGTAATTTTATTTTTAAAATGTAGTGAATGTTGGTACACGCTGATGATTGACAAGTAGACGCTGATGCTGATTAAGAACAAATCACGTAATTGTCGTAATTGTAATTGTTGCCGGAAGCAGGACTCAAATGCAGAGTTGAAAACAAAAGTACTCAGTAAATTCAAATCTCAAAATCAAAATGCCTGGAGGCAAGACGCAGACAAGGACCAGGAACTCACAAATGGTTTCTTCAGGAAAGACATTCAATGACACAACGAGGGACAAAAGACACACATGGCTTAAATACAGTGGGCAGGTGCAGGTGACACAGGAGGAAACAGTCAGACAATCACAGGGGATGACAGGACAAGGCAGGAAGTGATCCTAACCCGTAGACATAAGAGGCAGAAAACTACAAAATAAAACAGGAAATAAACCCAAACCGTGGCAGTAATCTTGTGTCATTGAGCAAGATTCAGTAAAGTCTTTATCACGTCTTCTGATTCTGAAAATGTTTTCCCAGGTCCATGTGTTTGGTTTTGGAGCAGACAGTGATGGAAACTGGAGTCATTACTGGGAACAAATCACCTACAAAAGACTAAGAACTGGAAGACATCCTGGAAAAGTAGAGTATAAATGATCAAGGAGCTAACAAAGCATCAAGTACTCAAATTCTATAAGGGGTGGTAAACTCTTCTGATGCAAACTAAAAACCCACCTCTACCGACTACACCTCGACTAGTTTTCGGCTTTAGTCGCACTTCATAAGGAACTTAATTGTCTTTAGTTTATCCTGTATTTGACACCCACCAATGTGTTTACACATGTGTATAACTGATCGGGACTACTCCTCCGCTCTCTTCACTGGGTACCGGTTGCTGCCCGCATCCAGTTCAAAACATTGGTGCTCACGTACCACGCTGTGAATGGATCGGGTCCGGCTTAGATCCAGGACATGGTGAAACCATACATCCCGACCCGCACTCTCCGCTCTGCATCTGCAAAACTGCTCGTCCCTCCCTCACTAGATTCATATTTAATATTGTTTAATATTGTCGTTATTCAACAAAAGGCGCAGCCAAACAAAACAATGTCAAATGGGGCGCCCTCTTGTGGTATTAAAGTAAATATACCGTATTTTCCGCACTCCAAGGCGCACTTAAAAAATTCTCAAAAAATTTGCGGGCAACACCGAAAACTGCTGTAAATTGTCAGAAATTGACGTGGGCCTCCCTTGGCAGTTGTCCCCCCATGACCCCCCTCCTCGTAATTCTAGGGAGGCTTTGACATGTAAATGAAAATGCTGTGAGCTATACAAACGCAAATCAGGGTCGCAGAGGGAGTTTTAGCCCAGGTGACATTTTTTTAAAAGGTAAGAAAATCTCTGGTACAAATAGATCAGGCTCAGTAGCCTAATTATAGACTCTTACACTTTAGCTTGAATTGATTTATTTAATTAAAATATGCTAGATTACTGTGTACGCCATTAGCAATGGCAAATGTTATGTAAAAAAGATACACAAAATAACTTCTTTAAAAAATGAGTTTTAATCAAGGTAAAATGAGCATTCCATGCAAACAACATTTGAATCAGCATGAGGGGTCTGCAGAGATCACAGTCTCCTAGAGCTCAACTACAGTGCATAGTGGCAGGACTACAGTGACCTTTTCTTTGGTCTTACTTAAATGCACAGAGGATGTATTAACCACACATCTTCTAGCAATGCGCTCAACTGGCAGAAATGATGCTGGGTATGACGTGTCTGTTCCCTGCAAGCCCCAAACTTCTATTGGCTTTCCATAAAAAAAATGTCTGTCCGGGTGGAGATGAAGCCAGGAAACTTGTGCAAGAACATGTTTAAATGCCGTACCCTTTGACACAACATTAACAACTATAAACTGCTTTATAAAGGCTGGTCGTAGTTCTGCTAGAGGGTCAAGGACGGGTTCCTCAAAACTGTCAGTGTTTCCACACCACTTAGCGTAAACATACACTGACCTTTATGCTCTGCATTTATCGATTGAGTAAGTTACATTCATATATGTTACCCGTTTACATGTCATGGCAAAACATTCAACCTCAGTGACACAAGGGTACATCTGATGATACATTGTCATGTGTCATGATTGTCTGGTGGAATGGACAAAGAGGCACCACTGTACAGTTTTCTAGGGAAAATCGTTCTGCTGACACTAAAACACTGCTTTACATGAAGCATATCAGCTGTTTCAAAGTCCCAACCATTTGTCTTCCTAAAATACTGGTCCTTCCGTATAACAATAACCTTGTATGTGATTGGAGGACCCTTAGACTCCTCGTCCAATCACGTGTGAGGTCATAGGCATGACTCAGACAGCAGTACTTGCAAGACGAGCATACAAACAGACACGCGTGTGTTACTATATTCAGAAGAACTGTATCTCCAGTTCCTTTGTTTGGTTTGTGCTGGTTCGTGAATAATGGCGGGACAATGTCTCGCGTTCAACTCGCCTTCAACTCCTCTCCGCGGTCACCAACTTTCAGCGAGTCCACAGACAGACGAGAAGAAACTGCTGAATGCTCTCAACTCCAACAACAAACTGCCGATATCAACGAGCGGTTCACAGGTCTCTCCAGGTTGCTGACATTTTTAACCCATGGCTTTTTACATTTTTGCCGAGGGAGCAATTAGGGGGCAGGTGTCTTGCTCAGGGACACTTCGAAATGGGACACGGGGCAGCCAGAGCTCAAACCGCCAACCTTGCGGTTCCCAGCGCACCCTGTCTACCTCTGCGCTACATCGACCCTTTAATAACCATGACTTTATTATAAGATTGCACTCAATCTAAAAACATGACATGCAGCTGTCACACCTACTCTCTGTGATAACACGCCATGATAGCATGACATAAAAACAGAAAACTTCCTGCTAATAAACACTGAGGGACAATGATTGTCCACGACCTGCAGTGACCCAAACCTCTCCCTGAGCCATCTCTTTCCAACACGAGGTCTTTAGTAAGTCAGGATTAAACAAAACTGGGTTGTTACTGTGTGCATCCTTGAGGTCCACAAAAGCACACTTTGCCTCCTCACTCCTCTGCAGCTGAGTATAGGGGTCCTATACATTTGAGAGCGGCAGCACGAGAGAAAATATGCAACGCATAAATCGTTGGTACCACAGGATTGAAAGGGTTTGAGCTTGGTTTTACAACCACTTTGATAATAATAAAGCCAAGATAGTCAAGGACTGTCCTATCAAACTGATACTTTGAGGGGTTGAGAGTCGGTCCGGCCTCCTGGAGATGTCTATAATTTACTCTACGATGTTTAGTTTCAGCAGTAAAGGAAGGGGTTTCCTCCCCACTATCAACGTGCAGGGACAGCTCCAGCTGTTGTTAGGAATGGTGTAGGGAAAAGGTGTTGGTTAACAGCTAGTGTGAAATTAAATCATTGACATCAATAGAATTATTAATAATCACTAAGATAAATACAAAATAAATAAATAACAGGGCACCACCATAAAAGGGATTAATAACAAACTATAAATCAAGTCTCATAATTTATATTAACTCATTAAGAGCAAGGATTTGAACGCTTGAGTTTGTACACTGGCTAATTTTCCAGTCAGCATGCAGATCACGTATGCACAAAGAAATCACAGAAAACTGCTCCTTAAAGTATAACAGGATTTATTAACTTCCAACAATACTAATCTGATCAACACCTGAATAAACAAAAGCTATTACACAATATCCTAATATCTAAAAAACAAATGAAAACATTAATTCACGTAGGGGTCGTTGTGGCGCAGGGGTTAGAGAAGGTGTGCTGGGAAGCACAAGGTTGTTGGTTCGATTCCAGGCCCCATGTTGAAGTGTCCCTGAGCAAGACACTTTTACTACCTTTGACTGACGTCATGTTTTTAGATTAAGTGCAATCTGATAATAAAGTTAGGGTTATAAAAGTGTTGAACTTCATAGCAGGGTTTTGCAGCCAACCATCATCCTGGAAAAAGACTGAGCAGCTTCATCTCAGCTCCCTGTAAAGATTAGAGTGGATTAGACTGTACAGTTATATTGTCTTATCTAACCATTGCTTAATGCAGCTGGAACTTCCCCCTGCACATCCGTAGTGTGAAATAAGCATCGTACAATCTGCTGAAAGTAAATGTTGTACAGTAAATTATAAGTATCCCATTGCGTATCCCTATGGTTGAATGCACTTATTGTTAGTCACTTTGGATAACAGCGTCAGCTAAATGCCATGTAATGTAATGTAATAAGAATAGCCATTGTCTGCATTAACATCTGAACCAGCAGGCGGTCCCTGCGTGTCTGTCCGGTAACAGACTTCAGCTTTCACACGCACCTTACTTTGTGAGACAGACAGGCACCTGACATCTATGAACAGCACTGGGTCTCATAAATGATATAATAAAACCACTGGCTACTTGTTGAACCTCTGGACCAGAACACACACCAACGGAGACACCACTTCCAAAATAAGTCATTTAGACTTTAAACTAAGTACGTTTAACGTCCTTTAAGGTAAGACAAAACTAATACTAATAACTGATGATGAATAATGCCAACCATTATAATACTAATGACTGGAATGTACTCATTATACTTTTTGGTATAACAGCAACGCAATTACAATAACTTTATTTTTGATTAATAATCAATCGAGTTATTAAATATGTTATTAATCTGTACAGCAGGCACAAACGTCTGATGTTCTGATGATGCTGGCTCTCGAATGCCAAACTGCTTAGTGCTTATTTGTTCAAACAACCTATTTGACAGTTTTCCTTATTTATAAATGTGAACAGCGGTGAAATACTCAGTCAAGTGTAATTTACAACGCTCGAGGTATCATTCCAGTTATGATGATGAATTAAACTAATTCACATTCACCACCGGAGCGCAGAGGAGAGAGCAAACAGACACTCGGTCAGCTACTTTTATTATCCACCCATCACGTTTCTAGTGGTCGGTAGTCATCAACACTCATGAGGTGCTTTGTGTTGAGTTTTTACAATTAAATTTGAGAAGAGCAGGATGTGAGCCTGAACTAGATGCGCATTCAAGGGTTATAAATGTATGAATGTAAATTGCACCCTGGCAGAAATATCTACCAATTCTGTTTGTCATTTGTATAAATGGCTATAACCTACAATATTGAATAAACCTCGAATCCATTGGTTGCAGGTTTTTTATTGAGTGCGACACGTCTCTCAGTGAATATTGGAGCTGCGCCTAATTGTCCAATCATCAATCAACCCTATTATAATGTTCAGTCGTCAAATCTGACATGTGGGGTTAACATTTATTATTCACATTTAAATGTAACATTTAGATTTACATTTAACATTTACATTCATATTTAACATGTATATTTACATTTAACATTTACCATTCATAATTATATTTAACATTTATATTTAACTTTTTTTTACGTTTAACATTTATATTATTTAACATGGGTGGCGTGGTGGTTAGCACCGTTGCCTCACAGCAAGAAGGTCCTGGGTTCGATTCCACCCAGTGGCCTTTCTGTGTGGAGTCTGCATGTTCTCCCCGTGTCTGCGTGGGTTCTCTCCGGGTTCTCCGGCTTCCTCCCACAGTCCAAAGACATGCTCGGGGGATCAGGTTAATTGGGGACTTTAAATTGCCCGTAGTTGTGTGAATGTGAGTGTGATTGGTTGTGTGTCTCTGTGTTGCCCTGCGATTGGCTGGCGACCAATCCAGGGTGTACCCTGTCTATCGCCCGAAGTTGGCTGGGATGGACTCCAGCCCCCCCGCGACCCTGTGTGCAGGATAAGCGGTTTGACAATGGATGGATGGATGGATATTTACATTTACCATTCATAATTATATTTAACATTTATATTTAACTTTTTTTTACGTTTAACATTTATATTATTTAACATGGGTGGCGTGGTGGTTAGCACCGTTGCCTCACAGCAAGAAGGTCCTGGGTTCGATTCCGCCCATTGGCCTTTCTGTGTGGAGTCTGCATGTTCTCCCCGTGTCTGCGTGGGTTCTCTCCGTGTTCTAAATATGTCCCGGCAGGTCACGTGATCTGAAGGCACCTTCGATCATATTGTAATGAACTGACATGTTGTCGAGGTTACACATTAAGAGTTTGTACTCATAGAATTTTTTTCCCTTACATTACTTTTATACTTTAAGTAGTTTTAAAACAAGTACTTTTATACTTTTACTTAAGTGATAAGTATTTTTAAACCCTAGTATCTATGTTTCTACTTGAGTAATGAATGTGAATACTTTTGACACCTTTGCTGATTCCCAGCGTTGTGGCTGCTGCCACTTTTGGGGCTGGCCTGAGCCCACCTAAGACATGCAGACATGCGGAGGGGCTCAAGGCGAGGCCATGCCCCTTGGCCCTCCGTGGCCCTCTATGGGCCAGCTGCAACTGTACCTCATACCTGTATAACAAACTTGTCTTTGTATAAGAACCTATGTAAGTTATTAATAGAGAAATTTGCTTTTCCCTTTTAGATTGTCAAAATGGAGAGATGTTGCTGATATACAACCTTTTACTCAAGATTATTAGCAAAAAGCTACCTCCAGTTTTTAAACCTATTTGTATTCCACTATATGCTTTTCATGCCCTGCGGTGATATTTCTTGAGCAGTATTTGGATCATTTACACCAGAGCACAAACCACATCCAAGGGCGATTCAACTTTAGGGGCAAAAAAAAAAAAAACTCAGGATAGAAAGAAAACATGGCAAAAACAAGCTTCTCTTCCATTTTACTACAGTGACGGCAACGGCAGAGCATCTTTCAGAGAAGTTCTCTAAATTGAAGCGGCCCGAGCTGTCAAACAAAGCGTGTTAGCACTGAGAAGATGGGAACATTGTGGAAAAAGGCTCAAACTTAACTCCACCTCAATCAAGTATAATACTTGCTGTTAAAGTGAAGTAAAAGATTGATGAAATTTTAATTACAATTACACACATTATTTAAACCTACTTTAATACCTGCCGTCGCTGACCATTATCCTTTTGTATTTCACCACAGCCTTTAGCCACAGGTTGGAGCGGCTTCCCATTCACACTGCCGCACCCAAGATGAAAACAAAAGCTCGCCTGCTCATTTTATTTTTGAGTGTTTCTGGCGTCTGTGTTTTTTGGAGAGAAGTGTCACAATACGTTCTGCCTCAGGAACAAAGATCCTGTGCTTGTGACCGATGTCTATTTGAAAATGATACGTTGGCCATTGAGCGTTTGAGGAAGTTTCCGCAACCATTTTTATCCAGCAACTACAGTCTGCCAGAAGAGGATTTCAAATGGTGGAGGGTAAGTTGTGACCTAACAACATAACAGTGTCTCAACCTGCAGCTCAAATCCAGATCGGAAAGTAAAATACCTTCATGTTTGACAGCCGCATTTTGGGGATTCTCTCAGCTGTGTTATCCCCTGTGCTCCCCACCGGCCTGGGGCCACTAGTAGTGATTTAGGTAGCTTGTAGATGCGGTAGCTTGTAGATGCACACTCACTTGTAGATGCACACTCACTTATGCACTCACTGTCATTACCTGCGCACGCAGCGTACACACAAGCAACCCACTGCATGATCCTCCTGGAGGAACTAACACATTCAATTAATGATTATTTATTTGTCAGAGGCATAATCCCTCAATTTAGTTCATGCAGCAGAAAATACAACATTCATGCCTTTAACAATATGAACAAATCCTTCAAAAATATTTTCTGGCTCGCAATATCATAACTTACAGTGTGTAGTTTGTATGATTCCTTTGGTCTAACGGCGAGTAATGTTTGGTGCTCCTGACAGGTCATACAGCGTGGAGGCGGTAACATCAGTGAATACAGACAAAAGATGTCAAGGGTTTTTCAGCTGATCCCAGACAACTCTCCTCTTGAAGCATCCATCCCCGGCCGATGCAGGACTTGTGCTGTGGTGGGAAACTCCCGTAATTTGTTAAAATCACATTATGGACCTTTCATAGATTTCCAGGACTACGTCATAAGGTAAATGAGCTGAAACAAGCATAAATGTCAGAATTAAGTGTCCTAATGCTTTTTCCTGAAAATAACACCGACTTATGAAATACATCCCATTGTACCATTTAGAATCAACAGGGGTCGTTCCAAAGGCTTTGAATCCGATGTCGGGAACAGAACAACTCATCATGTCATGTACCTGGAGAGTGCTTCTCAGATAGATAACACCACTCGTCCGGTGCTGTTTACCTTTAAGATGAGGGATCTTGAATGGATTACGAGCGTCCTCAGCACACAACCTTCTGGAAAGTGAGTCATGTTTTTCATTTCAGCTCTAGTCTAGATGCTGCGGTTTGTCTTCTGAAGCTGATGTTCCAGCCTGCTAAAGTCAACCAGTACTGATGGAGGGGTTGTGTTTCATTTGTGGTGAACAGTAAATCCATAACATTCAGGGCCACATAACATGTCACTGTTATCCGTTCATTATATCTTTGCTTTACTTCAACATACAATCAATAGATGTTTGAGTTTGACATTTCATGCTTCTTTTCACACGTGCCAAGAAAATCCTTATTCAACAAGGATTTGGTGAGTATTATTTTATATGTATTCAACAATAAAAACGTTATATGCTCCAGAGGTAATGGTTGATAAAATACATTGAAAGACTAATTCTGATTTCACAACAGGCGATGGTCCTTAACCCAGCTTTTATGAGGAATATTCATCAAGTATGGCTGCAAAAGAAGGGCGCTTATGCCTCCACTGGCTTCATGGCTTTGGCTCTTGCCCTGCATATTTGTGACGAGGTAAGTTCAGTTTTAAATGGAGTGAATGTTGTTACTCGCTGATGATTTACAAGTGGAAGCTAATTTCGATGAAGAACAAATAATCTTATGTTATTTAGCAAGATTCAATAAATTGCTTACCGATGGTTTCCAGGTCCATGTGTTTGGTTTTGGAGCAGACAGTGATGGAAACTGGAGTCATTACTGGGAAAAAGTCCCCAACAAAAAAGTAAAAACTGGACCACATCCTGGAAAAGTAGAGTATGAAATGATCGAGGAGCTGGCAAGTCATCAAGTACTCAAATTCTATACAGGGTGGTAATTGAATGGATGAAATGAATGCGAAGGAAGGCCATACAAATTAACTATAAATGGCTAAAGGAAAAGTCTTTGGAAGGTTCTGAGTAGAAGTGGATGAAGCTATGGCTTATAGTTTTCCATTTATTATTATTCATTTATAAAGACTCATCCGACCAGGCAATGTTTTTACTACCTTTGATTGGGAAATTTTGGTGAGCCTTTGCACATTGTAGTTTCAGTTTCAAACAAATTGTGATTCGTTACAGATGTATTCATGTTGTTGTACATATATTCATGTATTTTCCTTTCAGGAGAATAAACCTGTAAGGGTAATGTGGTGGTTAGTTTTGTCACCTCATAGCAAGAAGGTCTTGGGTTCGACTCCGCTCAGTGGCCTTCCTATGTGGAGTCTTCATGTTCTCCCTGTGTCTATGTGGGTTCTCTCCGGGTAATCTGGCTTTCTCCCACAGTCTGAAGACATGCTCTGGGGATCAGGTTGATTGGTATTGCTGAAATGTCCCGTGAGTGTGAATGGTTGTTTGTCTCTTGTGTTTGGCTGGCGACCACGTCTCTTGGCCAAACCTTGCGTACAGGATAAGCGGTTTGAAGATGGATGGGAGTCAACTACATGTGACGTAGGAACTCTGTTCCTCTTTTTGTACACTGGGTGGTCCACTAAACAGTAACGGATTGTTTATACCTACCGGGACCTGTTGCATGTCAAGAATGGAATAAATTGCTTCTAAAAACGTAACCGTGGACTAAATCTAATGTTACCCACACAACTTTACGGGAACCGCAACAGGCAGAGAGGACTCATCACCGGCGTGTCATCCAGGTTATTCCAGAGGTAGATGCAGCTCATCGAAAGTTGACGGAGCTCCTTTAAAATACCTACACATTGAATGAAAGATTTCCAACCATGAGACATTTTAAACATACGTCCCCAAAAGGGATTTTCTCCAATATGCAGTTCTCATTAAAACACTTCAGAATCTATGAAAATGAACATTAAAGTTCATCTCTATGTTACATTACATTACATTACAGGTCATTTAGCAGACGCTTTTATCCAAAGCGACTTACATTACACTTTAAACCCATGGCGTTTTCACATTTTTGCCCGGGGAGCAATTAGGGGTTAGGTGTCTTGCTCAGGGACACTTCGACATGGAACATGGGGCAGCCTGGAATCGAAACAACAACCTTGTGCTTCCCAGCACACCTTCTCTAACCCCTCTAACCCCTGCGCCACGACGATGGGTCAAGTCTACTAGTGTTCACATTGAATGTCGTACAGACACGTTGAAGTGATGTCACAAACCTCTGTATTAATAATACATTAAAGAATTAGATTGGTGACTTTGTCAATGCCAAAACCATACGATTGTTTGGAATTGAGTGTTGAATCTCTCAACTAAATAACCAATGAATTCTACTGGAAAAATTAAGACACCAAGAATTAAAATGGCCACGAGAGGATGGTTAATTTTCAAAATAAAACAGGAAATCATGGACAACCTGATTAAGACAGCTTCCTGACAACAACGGTTTATTAAATGAACTCTTCAAAATGAGTCTATAAAAAGATTAAATACTGTTCACTTAATATCGCTACCAAACAAAACCAAAAACAATAGACCATGTGGGATTAACCTGTAACATTCGGGAGGTCAATGTAAAGGTGTCAACCATAAAGTAAAAGGCACAAAATAAAACAATAACACTTCATAGAAACCAATCAAATCACAGCAAATAAGAGGACTAAAACAAACCATACAACAAACACATGCAAGATGGCTGTTCTATCTTCAGCACAGCAGCGACCCCCACAAGAAAATTAAACATAAAAAGGCCCATGCAATTGCTTATTGAAAAGCCTACCATATACTAAATAGGGGAAAACACTGGTAGTCCTTAATGCCTGTCTAAAACAAAAGAAACACATCTACATTTAAAAGAAAACTTTACCCAACATTTCATGTTGCATGCATTCAGGGAGTACATCTACCTGCCTGGACCTGCTCACGGTCCCTTCCCCCCACTGGGACAGGTGATTGAGGTAATTGCCCCTTGCCAAGTCACCACGGTAACAACGCACCTGCCTGTAAATGCCCTGTAACGAGCTCCGAGGGCAGAGAGAGAGAGACAAAAAACTAATGAAACATAATCAATGATTATGACAAAAGTAATATAGATATCAACAAGCTGTTTCTTTATAAAATAGTTTAGACATTTGTCAACATTTTAAAGTTTAAATGGTGTCTGTAGCTGAAAGATTGGCAAAGCAAGAAAATGTGAAAGTTGAAGAAGTTAAGGAGGATTTCAAAACGAACTCCATTGGAAAACCATGTTAAAATATTGATGATTGTTAATTTATAGAAATGCAAGCAGAAGAGGTAGAAAGCATTATCCATTGGCATTCATTTCATTTTGGAAATGAAAAGTATAATTGTTATAGATATGTCTTGCCTGATCAGACTGTAAACCACTTAGTTATTTTGAGTTTAAAGTCTAAAATACAAAAATTGCCGGCAGAACTTATGATTTGGAAGAGGTGTCTCCGTTGGTGTGCGTTCTGGTCCGTAAGTCTGCGGAGGTTCAACAAGTGTTTGGTCTTATTCAACTGTGACTCAGCATCGTGCACAGATGTCAGGAGGAACGCCAAGCACGTGCACAGACATTTTGGGGGGCAGGTGCTCAAACCAAAACAAAAGGGCACCCATCGCCAAAATTATTCATGAAATTAATAATAAAATAAATACATAAAAACCACAGGAGGATATTTGCCTTTGGAGTCTCTCTTATATAAGATAAATTCATTTGACATTTTCTTGTACTGTTTTCTGACAGTTGAAGTATAAATATACTAATAATATACCACAATATACCTCACCAGACATGTAGCTCAACTTAAGACCTACCTTTCATTTCAATAATTAAATTAAATTAAACAAAATTAGTGAAATTGTCTAATTTGTGAAACAGTAAAACTGCCTTTAAATGCTCTGCCTGTATCTCTCTCTCTTCGTTAAAATGTCATATAACAACATTATCAACTTTGCATGTGGGCGGTGATTAGAGCTCAGTGGCCTTTCTGTGTGGAGTCTGCATGTTCTCCCCGTGTGTGCGTGGGTTCTCCCACAGTCCAGAGACATGCTCTGGGGATCAGGTTGATTGATGACTCTAAAGCAGTGGTCCCCAACCCTTTTTACCTCACGGACCGGTTGGGGGGGGGGGGGGGGGGGGGAAAAAAAAACTCCCGGGCCCGGAAAAAGACCAAATAAAACCCTGGGGGCCGGCGGGGGAAATTTTCAAGGGGCCAGCGCCAATAATTTAGAAGAAAACCCGGCCATTTTCTAAAAAAAACATTTTTTTGGTAAAAAAAAAAAAAAATATTTTTATATATATATATTTTTATATCTGGTAAAAAGAAAGAGGTTGCGTGTGACGTGGACTGGGTGTTTTTTTTTTTTTACCAAAATCGTTGGTTTGCGTTGGTCTCCAAACGCATTTTAGTTGATTTCCCAACAGACGGAGGGCAAGCCCACAACTTGGCAGGTCAGTGGTGTGCAGACTTCAACTCGGCTGGCCCGCCTTGGCACCAATTTCCAGAGATCTCTGATGCTTGTTTTAACTGACGTCATGTTTTTAGGTTAAGTGCAATCTGATCATAAAGTTAGGGTTATAAAGGTGTTTTGCAACCAACCATCATCCTGGAAAAAGACTGAGCAGCTTCATTCCAGCTCCCTGTAAAGATTAGAGTGGATTAGACTGTACAATTATATTGTCTTATTTAACCATTGCTTAATGCAGCTGGAACTTCCCCCTGCACATCCGTAGTGTAGAAGAAACATCGTACAATCTGCTGAAAGTAAATGTTGTACAGCAAATCATAAGTATACCATTGCGTTACCCTATGGTTGAATGCACTTATTGTTAGTCACTTTGGATAACAGCGTCAGCTAAATGACATGTAATGTAATGTAATAAGAATAAGAATTGTCTGCCTTAACATCGTAACAAGCAGGCGGTCCCTGCGTGCCTGTCCGGTAACAGACATCAGCTTTCACACGCACCTTACTTTGTGAGACAGACAGGCACCTGACGTCTATGAACAGCACTGCGTCTCATAAATGATAGAATAAAACCACCGGCTACTTGTTGAACCTCTGGACCAGAACACACACCAACGGAGACACCACTTCCAAAATAAGTCATTTAGACTTTAAACTAAGTACGTTTAACGTCCTTTAAGGTAAGACAAAACTAATACTAATAACTGATGATGAATAATGCCAACCATCATAATACTAATGACTGGAATGTACTCATTACACTTTTTGTTATAACAGCAACGCAATTACAATAACTTTATTTTTGATTAATAATCAATCGCGTTATTAAATATGTTATTAATTTGTACAGCAGGCACAAACGTCTGATGTTCTGATGATGCTGGCTCTCGAATGCCAAACTGCTTTGTACTTTTGATGATTATTTGTTCAAACAACCTATTTGACAGTTTTCCTTATTTATAAATGTGAACAGCGGTGAAATACTCAGTCAAATGTAATTTACAACGCTCGAGGTATTATTCCAGTTATGATGATGAATTAAACTAATTCACATTCACCACCGGAGCGCAGAGGAGAGAGCAAACAGACACTCGGTCAGCTACTTTTAATATCCACCCATCACGTTTCTAGTGGTCGGTAGTCATCATCTAAATTTGAGAAGAGCAGGATGTGAGGCTGAACTAGCTGCGCATTCAAGGGTGAATCATAAATGTATGAAACTAAATTACACCCTGGCAGAAATATCTACCAATCCTGTTTGTCATTTGTATAAATGGCTATAACCGACAATATTGAATAAACCTCGAATCCATTGATTTTATTGCAGTGGTTGCAGGTTTTTTATTGAGTGTGACACGTCTCTCAGTGAATATTGGAGCTGCGTCTAATTGTCCAATCACCAATCAACCCTATTATAATGTTCAGTCGTCAAATCTGACATGTGGGGTTAACATTTATTATTCACATTTAAATGTAACATTTAGATTTACATTTAACATTTACATTCATATTTAACATGTATATTTACATTTAACATTTACCATTCATAATTATATTTAACATTTATATTTAACTTTTTTTTATGTTTAACATTTATATTATTTAACATGGGTGGCACGGTGGCGTGGTGGTTAGCACTGTTGCCTCACAGCAAGAAGGTCCTGGGTTCAATTCCGCCCAGTGGCCTTTCTGTGTGGAGTCTGCATGTTCTCCCTGTGTCTGCGTGGGTTCTCTCCGGGTTCTAAATATGTCCCGGCAGGTCACGTGATCTGAAGGCACCTTCGATCATATTGTAATGAACTGACATGTTGTCGAGGTTACACATTAAGAGTTTGTACTTCATAGAATTTGTTTCCCTTACATTACTTTTATACTTTAAGTAGTTTTAAAACAAGTACTTTTATACTTTTACTTAAGTGATAAGTATTTTTAAACCCTAGTATCTATATTTCTACTTGAGTAATGAATGTGAATACTTTTGACACCTTTGCTGATTCCCAGCGTTGTGGCTGCTGCCACTTTTGGGGCTGGCCTGAGCCCACCTAAGACATGCAGACATGCGGAGGGGCTCAAGGCGAGGCCATGCCCCATGGCCCTCCGTGGCCCTCTATGGGCCAGCTGCAACTGTAACACATACCTGCATAACAAACTTGTCTTTGTATAAGAACCTATGTAAGTTATTAATAGAGAAATTTGCTTTTCCCTTTTAGATTGTCAAAATGGAGAGATGTTGCTGATATACAACCTTTTACTCAAGATTATTAGCAAAAAGCTACCTCCAGTTTTTAAACCTATTTGTATTCCACTATATGCTTTTCATGCCCTGCGGTGATATTTCTTGAGCAGTATTTGGATCATTTACACCAGAGCACAAACCACATCCAAGGGCGATTCAACTTTAGGGGCAAAAAAAAAAAAAACTCAGGATAGAAAGAAAACATGGCAAAAACAAGCTTCTCTTCCATTTTACTACAGTGACGGCAACGGCAGAGCATCTTTCAGAGAAGTTCTCTAAATTGAAGCGGCCCGAGCTGTCAAACAAAGCGTGTTAGCACTGAGAAGAAGGGAACATTGTGGAAAAAGGCTCAAACTTAACTCCACCTCAATCAAGTATAATACTTGCTGTTAAAGTGAAGTAAAAGATTGATGGAATTGTAATTACAATTACACACATTAATTAAACCTACTTTAATACCTTCCGTCACTGACCATTATCCTTTTGTATTTCACCACAGCCTTTAGCCACAGGTTGGAGCGGCTTCCCATTCACACTGCCGCACCCAAGATGAAAACAAAAGCGCGCCTGCTCATTTTATTTCTGAGTGTTTCTGGCGCCTGTGTTTTTTGGAGAGAAGTGTCACGATACGTTCTGCCTCAGGAACAAAGATCCTGTGCTTGTGACCGATGTCTATTTGAAAATGATACGTTGGCCATTGAGCGTTTGCGGAAGTTTCCTCAACCATTTTTATCCAGCAACTACAGTCTGCCAGAAGAGGATTTCAAATGGTGGAGGGTAAGTTGTGACCTAACAACATAACAGTGTCTCAACCTGCAGCTCAAATCCAGATCGGAAAGTAAAATACCTTCACGTTTGACAGTCGCATTTTGGGGATTCTCTCAGCTGTGTTATCCCCTGTGCTCCCTACCGGCCTGGGGCCACTAGTAGTGATTTAGGTATAAAACGGTAGCTTGTAGATGCACACTCACTTATGCACTCACTGTCATTACCTGCGCACAATTAATGATTATTTATTTGTCAGAGGCATAATCCCTCAATTTAGTTCATGCAGCAGAAAATACAACATTCATGCCTTTAACAATATGAACAAATCCTTCAAAAATATTTTCTGGCTTTCAATATCATAACTTACAGTGTGTAGTTTGTATGATTCCTTTGGTCTAACGGCTAGTATGTTTGGTGCTCCTGACAGGTCATACAGCGTGGAGGCGGTACAATCAGTGAATACAGAAGAAACATGTCCAGGGTTTTTCAGTTGATCCCAGACAACCCTCCTCTTGAAGCATCCATCCCCGGCCGATGCAGGACTTGTGCTGTGGTGGGAAACTCCCGTAATTTGTTAAAATCACATTATGGACCTTTCATAGATTTCCAGGACTACGTCATAAGGTAAATGAGCTGAGACAAGCATAAATGTCAGAATTAAGTGTCCTAATGCTTTTTCCTGAAAATAACACTGACTTAAAATACATCCCATTGTACCATTTAGAATCAACAGGGGTCGTTCCAAAGGCTTTGAAGCAGATGTTGGGAACAGAACAACTCATCATGTCATGTACCTGGAGAGTGCTTCTCAGTTAGATAACACCACTCGTCCGGTGCTGTTTACCTTTAAGATGAGGGATCTTGAATGGATTACGAGGGTCCTCAGCACACAACCTTCTGGAAAGTGAGTTATGTTTTTCATTTCAGCTCTAGTCTAGATGCTACGGTTTGTCTTCTGAAGCTGATGTTCCAGCCTGCTAAAGTCCACCAGCGGTACTGATGGAGGGGTTGTGTTTCATTTGTGGTGAACAGTAAATCCATAACATTCAGGGCCACATAACATGTCACTATTATCCGTTCATTATCTTTGCTTTACTTACATACATTCAATAGATGTTTGAGTTTGACATTTCATGCTTCTTTTTACACGTGCCAAGAAAATCCTTATTCAACAAGGATTTGGTGAGTATTATTTTATACGTATTCAACAATAAAAACGTTATATGCTCCAGAGGTAATGGTTGATAAAATACATTGAAAGACTAATTCTGATTTCACAACAGGCGATGGTCCTTAACCCAGCTTTTATGAGGAATATTCATCAAGTGTGGCTGCAAAAGAAGGGCGCTTATGCCTCCACTGGCTTCATGGCTTTGGCTCTTGCCCTGCATATTTGTGACGAGGTAAGTTCAGTTTTAAATGGAGTGAATGTTGTTACTCGCTGATGATTTACAAGTGGAAGCTAATTTCGATGAAGAACAAATAATCTTATGTTATTTAGCAAGATTCATTGAATTGCTTACCGATGGTTTCCAGGTCCATGTGTTTGGTTTTGGAGCAGACAGTGATGGAAACTGGAGTCATTACTGGGATAAAGTCCCCAACAAAAAAATAAAAACTGGTGGACATCCTGGTAAAGTAGAGTATGAAATGATCGAGGAGCTGGCAAGTCATCAAGTACTCAAATTCTATAAGGGGTGGTAATTGAATGGATGAAATGAATGCGAAGGAAGGCCATACAAATTAACTATAAATGGCTAAAGGAAAAGTCTTTGGAAGGTTCTGAGTAGAAGTGGATGAAGCTATGGCTTATAGTTTTCCACTTATTATTATTCATTTATCAAGACTCATCAGACCAGGCAATGTTTTTACTATCGTTGATTGGGAAATTTTGGTGAGCCTTTGCACATTGTAGTTTCAGTTTCAAACAAATTGTGATTTGTTACAGATGTATTTATGTTGTTGTACATATATTCATGTATTTTCCTTTCAGGAGAATAAACCTGTAAGGGTGATGTGGTGGTTAGTTTTGTCACCTCATAGCAAGAAGGTCTTGGGTTCGACTCCGCTCAGTGGCCTTCCTATGTGGAGTCTTCATGTTCTCCCTGTGTCTATATGGGTTCTCTCCGGGTAATCTGGCTTTCTTCCACAGTCTGAAGACATGCTCTGGGGATCAGGTTGATTGGTATTGCTGAAATGTCCCGTAAGTGTGAATGGTTGTTTGTTTCCGTTAGCCTTGTGTTTGGCTGGCGACCACGTCTCTTGGCCAAACCTTGTGTGCAGGATAAGCGGTTTGAAGATGGATGGGAGTCAACTACATGTGACGTAGGAACTCTGTTCCCCTTTTTGTACACTGGGTGGTCCACTAAACAGTAACGGATTGTTTATACCTACCGGGACCTGTTGCATGTCAAGAATGGAATAAATTGCTTCTAAAAACGTAACCGTGGACTAGATCTAATGTTACCCACACAACTTTACGGGAACCGCAACAGGCAGAGAGGACTCATCACCAGCGTGTCATCCAGGTTATTCCAGAGGTAGATGCAGCTCATCGAAAGTTGACGGAGCTCCTTTAAAATACCTACACATTGAATGAAACATTTCCAACCATGAGACATTTTAAACATACGTCCCCAAAAGGGATTTTCTCCAATATGCAGTTCTCATTAAAACACTTCAGAATCTATGAAAATGAACATTAAAGTTCATCTCTATGTTACATTACATTACATTACAGGTCATTTAGCAGACGCTTTTATCCAAAGCGACTTACATTACACTTTAAACCCATGGCTTTTTCACATTTTTGCCCGGGGAGCAATTAGGGGTTAGGTGTCTTGCTCAGGGACACTTCGACATGGAACATGGGGCAGCCTGGAATCGAACCAACAACCTTGTGCTTCCCAGCACACCTTCTCTAACCCCTCTAACCCCTGCGCCACGACGATGGGTCAAGTCTACTAGTGTTCACATTGAATGTCGTACAGACACGTTGAAGTGATGTCACAAACCTCTGTATTAATAATACATTAAAGAATTAGATTGGTGACTTTGTCAATGCCAAAACCATACGATTGTTTGGAATTGAGTGTTGAATCTCTCAACTAAATAACCAATGAATTCTACTGGAAAAATTAAGACACCAAGAATTAAAATGCCACGAGAGGATGGTTAATTTTCAAAATAAAACAGGAAATCATGGACAACCTGATTAAGACAGCTTCATGACAACTACGGTTTATTAAATGAACTCTTCAAAATGAGTCTATAAAAAGATTAAATACTGTTCACTTAATATCGCTACCAAACAAAACCAAAAACAATAGACCATGTGGGATTAACCTGTAACATTCGGGAGGTCAATGTAAAGGTGTCAACCATAAAGTAAAAGGCACAAAATAAAACAATAACACTTCATAGAAACCAATCAAATCACAGCAAATAAGAGGACTAAAACAAACCATACAACAAACACATGCAAGATGGCTGTTCTATCTTCAGCACAGCAGCGACCCCCACAAGAAAATTAAACATAAAAAGGCCCATGCAATTGCTTATTGAAAAGCCTACCATATACTAAATAGGGGAAAACACTGGTAGTCCTTAATGCCTGTCTAAAACAAAAGAAACACATCTACATTTAAAAGAAAACTTTACCCAACATTTCATGTTGCATGCATTCAGGGAGTACATCTACCTGTCTGGACTTGCTCACGGTCCGTTCCCCCCACTGGAACAGGTGATTGAGGTAATTGCCCCTTGCCAAGTCACCACGGTAACAACGCACCTGCCTGTAAATGCCCTGTAACGAGCTCCGAGGGCAGAGAGAGAGAGAGAGACAAAAAACGAATGAAACACAATCAGTGATTATGACAAAAGTAATATAGATATCAACAAGCGGTTTCTTTGTAAAATAGTTTAGACATTTGTCAACATTTTAAAGTTTAAATGGTGTCTGTAGCTGAAAGATTGGCAAAGCAAGAAAATGTGAAAGTTGAAGAAGTTAAGGAGGATTTCAAAACGAACTCCATTGGAAAACCATGTTAAAATATTGATGATTATTAATTTTTAGAAATGCAAGCAGAAGAGGTAGAAAGCATTATCCATTGGCATTCATTTCATTTTGGAAATGAAAAGTATAATTGTTATAGATATGTCTTGCCTGATCAGACTGTAAACCACTTAGTTATTTTGAGTTTAAAGTCTAATACAAAAATTGCCGGCAGAACTTGTGATTTGGAAGAGGCGTCTCCGTTGGTGTGCGTTCTGGTCCGTAAGTCTGAGGAGGTTCAACAAGTGTTTGGTCTTATTCAACTGTGACTCAGCATCGTGCACAGATGTCAGGAGGAACGCCAAGCACGTGCACAGACATTTTGGGGGGCAGGTGCTCAAACCAAAACAAAAGGGCACACATCGCCAAAATTATTCATGAAATTAATAATAAAATAAATATATAAAAACCACAGGAGGATATTTGCCTTTGTAGTCTCTCTTATAAGATAAATTCATTTGACATTTTATTGTACTGTTTTCTGACAGTTGAAGTATAAATATACTAATAATATACCACAATATACCTCACCAGACATGTAGCTCAACTTAAGACCTACCTTTCATTTCAATAATTGAATTAAATTAAACAAAACTAGTGAAATTGTCTAATTTCTGAAACAGTAAAACTGCCTGCCTGTATCTCTCTCTTCGTTAAAATGTCATATAACAACATTATCAAATTTGCATGTTTTATTTGTATTTATAATTATTTATAAACGCGTGGTGACGCGTGGGGAATATGTCAGAGGACGAGCGCAAATAATTAGGAGAAAACCCGGTCAATTTTCAAAATAAAACATTTTTCTGGAAAAAAAAATATATATATATATATATATAAGCTTTCTGTGGTGCGGCCCGGTACCAAACGGACCGGTACCGGTCCGCTACCCGGTGGTTGGGGACCACTGCTCTAAAGGTCACTGTGTACGCCGTCTCTCGCCCAACGTTGCCTGGGATAGACTCCAGCCCCCCTGTGACCCTGTGTGAAGGAAAAGTGGTCTGAAGATGGATGGATGGATCAACTTTACATGTCACGCTATCCTCTCAACAGGATAAAGCGAAGCACAGGTGTGACATCTACTGGTGAATCCACAGCATGATCGATACCGACACACAGTCATTGTCAGTGTGCAATGCGGAAAGTGAATAGATAGCTAATACAAAATATGAATATTATGTGAAAATATTTTGTCGAAACATTTGTTTTTCACCATTTTTTTTTATGATTTAGCATTACATTTGGCAAATGTAATGCTAAATCATGACACCACAGCGTATTTTCTCATTAACTAATAATTGTCAGTTCATCCACAGTACGTGAAAAAGAAATACCTTTGGATTTGTGATATGTTCAGTTTTATTAATTTCAACATTGATTATGATACGTAGATTTGCACAACATGTCTTGAGTGTACACAACTCAAGTCAATGAAGGATCCTATTCATTAAAAAACATACTGCAGTTTACAAGCACTTGTCTTCATTGCAGAAGCACATGTGATGCCACAAATTCTGGTAAAAAATAAACTCTCTTTGTCGTTAACATCCTTCTTGGCTTAGGTCAATTTGACGGCAGGGCCGGGAGGTCTGATGGAGATGAACTGCAGGCGGTTTGATGGTGGCGCATGGAGAAGAGAGGATGCGCTGGGAACCACAAGGCTGGTGGTTCGAGCCCCAGCTGCTCCATGTCCCATGTCAAAGTGTCCCTGA